GTGGTCCTCTTGCCGCACGCTGGGAGTGGAACCGTTGAGACCTGTAAGGCGATGGCGGATCTTGTCGTCGGAAACCTAGAGGCTCACTTTTCCAATAAGCCATTGTTGACTCAGGTGGTCTTATAAAAAGAGATGTATGTATACAATTGGCTGATTGTTACATGATTTTTGAGTTCAACTTTAAGTTCATCATTGTTTTTTAAAGTTAGGGACCGTTTACCTAAATGATTACCCAGTAAACACTTATCATTAGGAGTCAACACTATAATTTATTTTACTGGGTAAGATTGTAGTACATTAAAATGGTGGAGTATGCAACAATTTACCCGGTAAGCACTTACCCGGGTAAGAGTCGTCACCCTCACTTATCGAGTAAGACTCTCCATCTTTATCATTGCTCTAACCGGGTAAGATTTTTGACATTTTTCATGTTCATCAAATAAGGAAAATTACTCGGTAAGCACTTACCAGGTAAGCGTTTAGTAAACGACCCCTTAATATGCTTTAACCTTTGACCCATTAAGATTAGCACTTCTTTTTGAACTTTTTAGCAATTTAACTCATTAGTTGAAGATGATTTATAGAGATATTATGATAATATGTATTTTAGACTGTCGTTTTGAGATGGCAGACATCGTTATAAAATAGAGTAAATTACATGTTTCGCTCTTGTGGTTAGTTGTTTTTAATGGTAGTTCTTTCTTTTTTGAAAATTCAACTTCTCGTGTAGGCATGGGAACGAGGTGTGGATGGGGCGGGTTTTGTAATCCCCGGCCCGGTCTCGGTTTTTAATAAAAAGCCCCTGGCCCGGCCCTGGTTTTTATTAAACCAAATATAAATTACTTTGTTACTGTATCTAAATTAAATTATAATAAAAAATTTGAACAAAAAAATACACAAAAGATGAGAAATTTTAAATAGTTAATTTGATACTGATATTGATATATTTTTGTCAAATTTTTATAATATGTTTAAATTTATATTTTATTTAAAACTAAAAATATTATCGTTTTTTCAAAATCACATAAGATCATATTACAATATCGACTGAGATAAATAATAAAACGAAATATTAGAATCAAGATATATCTTGCTGCATTGCACGAGTACCTTTCTAGTGATAAATAATAAAAAGAGTAAATTAAGTTTTTTTTTTGTTATAAATTATGATTTTCATCCTTCTAGTTTAAAAATTACGATTTTCACCTCTATTATTTATAATTCGTGTTATTTTCATCCTTTAGTTTCTACCTCTAAAGTTCAAGGACCAAGATAGTAAATAATTATAAATCACATGAACCAAAACAACATTAAATTTTGAATTGTAAAAACAAAAATGACAACAAATTATAAATAGTAGGAATGAAAACCATAATCTCTAAAATGCAAGGACTTGAATCAAAAATATTACAAAACTATGAGGGCCAAAATTGTAATTTACTCTAAAAAATACAAAACTATGAGATCACCGTCAGACGCTTTTATAGGCCAGATTCTAGAAACAGCCAACGCCGTTGAACTTTTATCTACCTTACACCACTGGACCTCAGTTAGCAGTCACCGGACCACCAACCTCGATCATGGAAGCCATAGGAGTACTCATGACGTTTCCGATGTCTCCTTATCTCGAACAACAACTCGATAAGCGTTTCAATCTCCTCCGTCTCTGGAACTTCCCTAAAAGAAATGATTTCATAAAGGAGAACGCCGGTTCTATTCGAGCGGTGGTCGGAAACGCCAACGTCGGTGCCGATCGGGAATTGATCGACTCGTTGCCGGCTCTGGAGATTGTATCGAGTTTCAGTGTGGGGTTAGATAAGGTGGATTTGGTGTACTGTAAGGAGAAAGGGATTAGGGTTACTAATACACCTGATGTGTTGACTGAGGATGTGGCTGATTTAGCTATTGGATTGATGTTGGCGACGTTGAGACAGATTTGTGAGTGCGATCGGTATGTTAGAGGTGGATTATGGAAGAAAGGTGACTTCAAATTGACTACTAAGGTTCGATTTCCTCATCTGCTCGAATTTCTCAAAATTCTTTGATCATATACTGTTTTATTAATTCAAATTCAGAATTTCAAAATGCCACAATTGTTTCATATGATTTTGATATAATAACGGTATATGATATTGCTAATCCTTCAGCTTATATGGCACAATTACTTTCACTCTATTACATTGTAGACACAATTACTTTCACTCAAGTTCAAACAGTTACTTCATATGATCGTGAATTTGTGATCCATGATAGTTATGTTCTTTGAATCGTACGCTATATCAGTTCTTAGATTTGACACAGAAACATTGAATTAAGTAGACAACTAGGTGGCGAGGGACATCCCAAAATCGAGGAATCTATGCTTACATTCCACCTTCGGAGCTAATTGCGAATGGGATGTATTGGATGAGCCATTGAGGTTAAATATGACAGCTTTAGATATTTATAAGGACTTGCCCTCTGATAGCAGACTAGGGTTGGGAATTTATAGGAAGGGATGTGGCGAGAGAAAGAGAGGACCGTGATGGGGTTAATGAGTCGGCATTTAGATCTTTTGGTTCCCACGTTAGACGTGTAGTTCTTCCTACCATGGCTATGTTTTCTTGTACCTACTTCCGTGTTTATCTTTTGTTTGCTAGTTTGTCTGTTTGAATGTTGTTTTTACTTCTAAGGGGGTGTTTGGGATTACTTATTTGTTCGAGAAATTTTACCCTTTTGTTTCGCACACTTTGCACAACCCGAGAGTCTTCACACAAACAACCAATCTAACTCTTCGGATAGAAGTCAAGTCTGCTTACATCCCGCCATCCCGAGAGCCCATCTTAGATGAGATATGTTTGGCTTATTTGGTTTGGTTTTGATATGTTTTTGGGTTTGTTTGATTTTATCTGTTTTTGCACATATATCATCAATTCAATGCCTCTGGTACACTTCTAGATACCACCATAGGTTTAATCAGAAATATGGACTACTGTTCTTTATCTTTTTGTATTTAATCCTTGCAGTTCAGTGGCAAAAAAGTTGGAATCATAGGTCTGGGGAGAATAGGCACAGCAATTGCTAAAAGAGCTGAAGCATTCAGCTGTCCCATTAGTTACTATTCCAGATCAGAAAAACCAGACTCGAAGTACAAATACTTCCCCACCGTTGTCGAACTGGCTTCCAATTGTCAGATCCTCGTTGTTGCGTGTCC